AGATTTCAACCACAGAATATGGCAACAGAACTGATCACAGGGGAAAATGCAATTAAAATACCTTTCTGCATTTTGCAGCCACAAAATCGTTGGCAAATCGCTGTAATCTGGCTTTGCTGAAGTGGAGGGCATGAGTCAATGCGTCAGGAAAGAGTTTCAGCTAAGTACTTTCCAGGGTAGTTACCTTGCTCAAGGCCAATGCAGCAACTTTTGCACCTTCTGTTATAGAAACTGGGATCCACAAGTGACTTTTCTTACCATCCTTTGCTCCCACTACAGTGTTGAAACCCCAGACAGACTCAGTTCGGCAACTGTGTATGCCTGTTCAGGTGCAGCAGACAAAAATATTTCTTTTTTTCTTTCTTCTTTTCTTTCTTTCTTTCTTTCTTTTTTAACCTTTAAGTTTTGTTTCTGTGTCTTAATAGCCAACTGGATTTGTAGATTACAAATTAACTTAGAGCGAGGACAGCAAGCAAATCCATCCAGCCTAAAGCAAGAAGAGCCTTCAGGCAGGTGTTTGTAGGCTTTCTTTAGAAGGGCTCCCTAGACATATCAAGAGAGTTTATTAGTGCTGGTTTGTATATCACTGCTGCTGTCTTGTTGATAGCATGTTTGTGTCCAATCTTTTTTTGTCTGACTCCAGTTCTAAATGGAATTCAGACAGAAATAATAACCAGAGAGGGATTCTCATTCATTTCTTCATCTCTTTCCAAATTCCTTGCTTCCAAAGGTAGCTCTTAGATTGCACCTTTGACAAAAATAAAAAATAAAAATAAAAAAATCTTCCACTATTGCTTCTTCCTGGACTGAGATCAGTCTTCCTGAGATTTCTTTTTTTTTTTTTTTTTTTTTTTGGGGGGGGGGGGGAGCTCTTGCCTTCTTCTCATCAAAGAACTGAACATTCCCAGACCTCTCAGTGACCTTTCAGGTGATGCTTTGGGGAGTCTAAAAACTTAGAAAAAACAAAGGCTCAGGACCATGAATGATATTAACATTAGATGCTGAGAAAGCCTTTGATCAGGTGGAGTGGAATTATTTGATAATAGTCTTAATACAATAAATTGGAATCGCTTTTGAAAGTAGATTTCTTTCTGTATATGACCTATAGCAGATGTCAGAATTAATGCAGACAAAGTGAAAAGTTTTATTCTTTTCTGGAAATATTTATAACGTGGGCATATTTTATCATAAAGCTAATGAACAGCGTTTTACCAGGAAGATTACTAAGGTTACCATCCCACTGAGATGATCATACCTCGCTATTACAAATGTAAATTGAAACGTTACCTTCCTGAAGAGATGAGAAAAAGATTTTGCTGTGTAGTGTTTGAGACAATAAATGTTGGGACAGAATGGTAATAGAGAAATGAATGCATCAAATTAAGACTTGGCAAGAGAGGAAAAAAAATGCTATTTTTTTTCCCCCTAAATTTTCAAAAGACACATTCTCCAGATGTAAGGAAATGAATCATTAGAGAATAAACCTGCATTATCCGTGTATTGAATCTGCGGAATGAAGCAGGATTCATTCAGGCTGCTTTTTCTTTGAGAATAGGAAAGATTAGCTGATTTATGTGAGAAATTTTAAGAGAAATTTTTCCGCTAGGATTTCACAGATTCCCTTGTTTTAGGAACTAAAAAGTGTTGTGGGCGGGCTTCCCCTCCCCCCCCTCCTCCCCCCCCCAGTGCCATTATGAAACAAAACTTGCAGAAGATTTTTCACCAGTTCCTAAGTTCTACTGCCAGAAGTTTATCTTGAATATCAGCCCAACCTTTTGTTGCCCACTTGAATGCGCTAGCCTATTTCATATTGCCTGATACCAACAAGGGGGAAAAAGCCCTATCTGAACTTTACCCTGTGATGTCATATCTCTTTGTTTGTACTCCAAAATTTTATAGGCCTCCCTTGTTATTGTGCCTTATTGAAAACTCATGTCTTATTTGCTGTTCGTTATTATCTTTTCAATATTTCTGCTTCTTAAGATTCTTCATCCGATTCAACATTTGTTTCAAATGATTTTTCTTCTGAAAAGGTATGCACTTGCATCTTTGAAGGGAACTGGCACAGTGCTATTATCTGTCCATTATTTTAATTCTCTGGGTCTCTGTCATGAGCTGTATGTTGTCCAAGAGAGATGCTTGCAGAGTATATTAGTTAAGAGACTGCAGATCTCAAATGTCTGGCATGCATGGATGATGCAAACAGTTTTAAAGTCAGTAGAAGATAGGCTTGAAGTTTCATTTACTTATGGAATAATAAAAATTAATAAATGGATGTGGATGACAGTCCACTCTAAACACATATGATACTCTGCTAAAGTTCAATACTAAAACATGGTGCTGCTGTATTTTTAATGCACTTGCAAAGTTTCATCTGCAAATTTCATTAATATACTCCTGTAGATCCAGGATGGCTTCTCCTCAGGAGTCTCTACTTTCTGGATCATAAAGTTGTCTTCACTATAATTTAGGAACCTCTGCGATGATGCATGTTCAGCTGTATTTGTTACTCAACAGATGTCTGGGTAGTTAAATTCCTCCATGAGCCTTTATCAGTACTTCTATTCTGGGATTCCCAACTGGTTCAAGATGTACCTCTCTTAGTCGGCAGCAGTACCACTGCTCAGAGATCAGTATGCACAGCTTGGGTCAGGCTTGTTTGGCACGGATCTCGGGCAGCTGGTTGCCCTGACCACTACCAGTCTTACTGCTTGAGTTGACCATGTAGGCCTAGAATCGACATCTTCTTGGTTCCTGCTCAAGGACTGGGTTAGATGGGTAGCTGGGCCTCTGCCCCACGTTCATAATTCTCAAGACCATCTGCTGCAGTAACTGTCGCTGCTCTTCCTGTGGGGCTGCTCCTCCATAAATTTCGACAACACCTGCTGCTCTCGCTATTCCCTCATATATTACGTCTACAACAGAAACTTGAAAACACACGCTGCTTACACTTCATTTAAACAGCTACCTTTCCGACATAACACGCCAATTCCAAAGCCACCCCTTTGAGGAGTTTGGTTTCAATAAAAGAAGTGTGATAATGAGTTAACAACACTGACATTGAACTTCTCTTCAGACATACCCGGGGCTCCTCAGCTGTCCCAGCTGCTCTTCCTGCACCCTGGGTCATCCCTTGTCTTGGACAACAACTCATGACCACACCTTGGCCACCAGTTTCAAAGAGTCGGCAAGATGCACTTAACCTTCTGCCAGTGGGATGAACGTGCAGTAGCAGTGTGGGAAAGTCTTAGGCACACGCTGCCAGCCTGCTCTATTCCCTTAGGCTACTTCCTTGCATTACATATTAAGGAGCTTTCCCTAGAGCTGGTCAAAGAGTAAAATAGTAACCTGATTTGCAACTAGAAGTGCTGAATCTGGATCACTGTGATTCAGAGAGTCATAATATTAGTTATTAATGAGTATTCAGCCTACTGCTGGGTATCTGTGAAAACGCTCCCAAATCCTTAGAGTTTAAAGAATTTTAGCCTCAATGATATTCACCCAGAGATTTACATGTTGCCATTCTTCCACGTAGAAATATTTGTCATCCAGAGGTCAGAAAAAAATCCCAGCTGCTTTTTGGTTTTCTGAGCAATCAGAAATGAATAAACACAGTCAAAATAAATCGTTTATTTTGAGTGAGCTGAAAAGCAATTGTTCTCCTTCTGCACTGACTGTGCACCCATAAGTATTAAATTTACAGGTGTCAGAATTGGTTTGCAAAACATTTCTTATTAAGAAAAGGATTATATTTTCAGCTCCCAGCAAAACCACAGCTAAACTCAGCCGTAATTTCAATGAGTCTTGTTCTGTATTGCAGCAACTGGTGAAGGCGTTTCTCTGGCATAGGAAGTTTTTGACTACATTGTAGGCACATTTCACTTTGACTGAAACCCACCTACCTCTCCCACTGAAAACAGGCAAGAAAAGAAGGAGAAAAGAGAATACTGCTTGAATTGCCCCATTTGCAAGAAGAAGTTTTGGTCTTTTTGTCCCTCTGCTGATTGTAATTCCTTGTCAACTAGACCATGCAGGTTCATGTGATAAAAGGCTGGCTTAATTTTGGGACACTACACACCATTCAAAAAGAAGATAAAGTGCAACCAAAAAGAATTGTTTCTTCCTTTTCAACAACTATATTGATCTCCTTCGTCTACATCCCTTACCGAGAATCTGACTTCTTCTGGCTAGCTAGCAAATATAAAGTCAAACACCTGTTTACCAGACACAGAGCTATGTGTCTGCCATTGCCGATCCATCTGTGGAACATAAACATAACTTTCACCAGCTGCTTCTTTTAGCATGGGCTGGTAATGGAAGCCATTATAGAGCATATCAACAACATACTTTCCTAATAATCATGGGCCAGAGCATCACAGGGGGTAAACTGGCAGAGCCTCACTGAAGGCAAATAGCGCTGCACTGATTTACACCATCGGAGGACCTCACCCCAGTTTGTTTTTCTTCACACTCTTCTCCTTTTATCTCCCTCATTTTCCTGGTTTCCAGTTTGTTTCTGCTCTTCTATTATATTATACTAATGAGGCAACATGTTGTGGAATAATTCCTGGGCCAGGCCCAAGCAGGAATGGATAATTACCTTGGGTACTATACAGCCTCAATATTAATGACTCTGAGAAAACCTCAGAAGATTCAGAGGTGTGATAATGCAAAGACTCCAGCTGGATTTAGGCCAAATGCCCCATTCGTATAAACATGCTCACCTTTATTGACTTCAGGAGAATTATGCAGGCTTTTGTTTGTTGCGAATGCGCTTTAGATGATTCACAAGATCATGCCCAACCACGTCCACACTCTTTAGATTGAAGTTGAGCTTGAAATATTGCAGTGTGAATAGCAGATTCCTTTTTGTCTTGCATAAAGCGTGTTACAACTACAGTGTGTTACGACTATAATTAAATTGCTGATAAATCCCCTTATCTCTCATGCTGTTCCAGGAGGCAATAATGAAGATCTGCTCCTGATGAGCATCAACATACCTCTTTCCCTGTGTCACATCAGTTAGGCAGGTCAAGTTCTTCATGGTGACCCAAGACAACATACTCTGTCCAGGCAGTTCATTTTCATCTTGGTGTAAAGCACAGATCTGCTGTGGGACTTTTTGACCTTTAATTTTCAAGTCAGGACACAACCTAGGACTCAAAAAAGAAATTTCATTCGTGCTTGAGGCTCTTAAGTGGGATACACACATGCATCCTGAGACACTTCAAGTTCAGGGAAGCCCATCCTATTGAATTCAGCCTGGAAATGGTAGCAGTCCCTGAGAGCTACCCATTAGAATTTGCTTCCCGCTTGGTAATTTTGTGACATATGCTGAATGCTGAACAGTGCTTTCCCGGACTTCCGCAATTGCTAAAATCAATGCTCACCTCTAATATATTCCGACTTAAAGTGTACAACCTTGTTTAAAATGCACTGCTAAAGCATATATTTTCATGTATCGTTATGTCTAAATGCATGATAACCAGGTTGAAAATCAAATTATCTGTGTTAAGGTGAATATTACAATGTGACTACTGCCTGCTGTGCCTCGAATGAATCTTGTAAACACAATCAAATCTCTCTCTTTCTCTCCCTCTCACAGACAGAGAGAGACACATGCACGCCCTTGCAGAAGAAAAGAGATTCTTCACCTTCTGCCATCGTATTGTCACAGCAGCTCATGTTTATTGTGAATGACATCTTCAGCTACATCTCAGCATGAGCTCTGGTATGCTGGAGCTGAACATCCTACCAGGAAAATCAGCAGTGACATTAAAGTTGTTTCATGAATAATGAAAAAATAAATATCACATTAACTGTAGGTACACAAAATGCTTTGTTTAACTAAAAGGGTTTGCAGAGAAATTCCAGGTCTCTGAGGGTAGATACTATTTTATTAACTGTGGGTAGAGAACTTATTTAGATGGAGCTGTTTTCATTATATTGGTAATTTTCTCAATTACACAAATGAGGGAACATGTGATCAGTACTATTAGTAGGACACAGATTTCTCTTTTACAAAACTCTAAACTACCAGAAAATCACAAAACAACAAATCCTCCATACTTGCAGCCAATGAGTCTTTCAGCAACTTACATGCTGTATAAGGAGGTTTAAATACGTCTCCCAAGTCCAAATTTGTATTACAGCAGTTTTAATCATTTATGGGGGCAAAAAGGCTTCAGAGACAGTAATGCAATTATATAAGTGTATAATGCGAAAGAGAATTCAATTGTCTCAATGCCATACAAGGCAAGCTTATTACAAGATCCCAGCAAAAGATGCTTAAAACATGACTGCACTGGATCCAGAGTTTTGCTGGCAGCATCAGTGTGTGTTCCTGCCAATCGTCAGAAGTTCATAATCACAAATTTCAGGGAGAAGAAACAAGCTTCATTTGAATTACGGGGTTATGGTGACCAGAGCTTTATACAAAAGTTATTTGTAGTGGAAATACTATATTTTGCCCTATTAAGGACAGAGCAAACACACTTTTTACATAGCATTAATATGTCAGGCAAAAGTGAAATCTTTCAGTGATTTCAGGCTTTGTGCTAGGCTGAAACTCGTGACCTTAAAATGCAAGGGTTTCTACAGAAACACAAACATACTTGCTTCAAAAACTGGAGAACAGTCTTGCTAACTGCCCCTTAAAGCAAATAAAAAGAGCTGTTATTCCCCATTCTTTGCAAAATTTCATTCATATTCATATCAAAAACACTGAGAAATGTTCCAAAGTGCCAAGAAGCATGAAAACTAATACTAAACACATTGTTGATATCCTCCTAACTATTGCTTATGAACTTATCAGCATGGAAATACTTATTCTCAGTAGAATTTCCTGAATGGCAATCCCAAATAATCGGCTTCATAAATTGTGCAGCTAGTAAATAGAGGCTAAATATTAGTGATTCAAAAGACCCACCTTCTCTCTCAAGGAGAGTGAAGAGATTTGTTTTCTAGTTTTCACTGAGGTAAGCACAAAAATGGTGTCTTTTCCATAAACCAAAGGCCTTCCACTTTTTATATAGAGTAGTGTACTTTATGACTTCTTGTGAGTTCAAGTTGCCTGCATTTCCTATTCATGCAGAAATGCTCATTTCCTGTCTAAAACACATGCATTTATTCTTATTTGCTTACCATTCTAAACAGCAATAACAAAAAGACCAGTAAACAGAAATACCACACCTTTTTTTTTGTACCAATATGCAAAGCCTCTACTCATTCTCTGCCTTTAAACAAGACAGAAAATTAAGAACTGTTTTTTGTTGTTGTAGTTTTTTAATCTTGTTTTATTTTTTTAAATGTGCCAATGCTTAAAGCAAAAAATAACAAGGACATAAATCTAAAATGTGCATCTCTTCAGGCTCCTGCTACTGTCAGGTGAGCTTAGACAGGTGGTTCAGAGTTCCTCCTTCCTATCAAGAAGGCAAATCATGAATTGAGGGAGGGTCAACAAGTAGATCTGACATATATAAAGCGGTGCCTCAGTTATCTCTTGATATGCAGTCAAAATAGTTAAAAGTAAGCAAAGGTGAGAGCAAGTAAAATCCGTGTATTACCTGGGAATGTGTCTGTCAATAGCAATGCAAGCTGTGTTTCTATCTATTATACGAGAAAGGTAAAAGTATTCTACTAGGTCACTTAGTTACTTCAACCAGATGGAATCCAAAATGTTCAGAAAATTAAAAATCCATTTATTCCTCCAAAGTTGCATTCCATCTGTTTTCAGACATTTATGGAATCTTTTTGCATGCAGGATATGGCAACCACTGGTGCCTTGGAAATATTTCTTCCCCATGCAGCTCACAGAAAGCCAGGCTGGCTGTAGACAGCGCTGGAGTAAGCTTTTCAGGTGCTTTTACTTCCCTTCCAAACATAGGAAACTTTGCTTTTGTCTTAAATACAGGAATCATAAAACCCCATTTATTATTGTCTGCAAAGATGCAACAAGAACTTTTAACGTTAAAAATAAATAAAATATAATAAAAAAACAGGCTATTCTCTACTCTTTCCACCTTGAAAATTTTAACTTTTCTGCCAGTCTGTTTCTCATTTTCAGCTTGTGGAGACAATAAGAATGATTCAGATGCTATGAAGGAATGCAGCCTGGCATGTAGTGATCTCCACCCTGAAGATAAAAGTGACAAAATTACCCCAGAAGTTATGAGCTCTAGTCTTCATCAATCATTTTTCAAGAAATATTTTATTCCATTCAACTGCCTAAATCTAACTGGGGTACGATCCCCTTCCTCCTATCACTGTTCTCAGCATCTTCAGCTTCACCAGATGGAAGGATATCATCTGGCATGCAGGCCAGGCTGAATTTTCTGTATATGACACAAACGTCCACATGTCCTCTGTTTCCTGAAGACTTTCCTTTGCAGTCACTGGCTCGTACAATAGCTCTGCATCACTGAGCCTTATCCTGCTTGGTGCTGAGAATATTTTATCCCCTGGTCAAGCTGACCTATAAGGTAAGTACAGGCTACATCTACACTGTCAGCTAAGTTATAATCCCACTTTTCTTCTGATTATCCATACCTCATGTTAAATCACTCCCAGCTTCTTTGTTGGAAGGAGCCAACTACATCCCTCCAAGCTGAAAGACAGTCAGCAGATAACTCTGTACCAGAACTGCTTCTTATACGGACAAAACCGCACCAGGTCTGGTGGTCTTACAGAGTCCTCCAGTGCTACATCAGCAGTCTTTTGCACCATAAACTCCCTTCATGCCCCTATGCCAAGGCCCAGATTGCTACAGTGTGTGAATCAGGGGAGATAAACGTTTACCATTACCCATGTCTGCATTTTGTTCACCTCCCCAAATCTAACTGGCAGGTGTTTGTCAGATGGAAAGACAAAGCACTCAAATATCTCAGGCCAGCACATCAAAAAGCAGAGAATTAGCTTTTAAGCATAAGACTGCATTTTAAAAAATAAGACAGAAAATCACAAATGGTGGGTGATTTCTTCGTGTCTTTGGGTTTTGTTCTGCATGTCCAATCATGTCTTCACATTTTTTTTCCTGTAACCTCAAGGGCAGTGGGAAAAAAAAAGGAAGTTAATACTCACATTTGGTCTCATGCTGCCCCAAAGTGACACTTTAAAACACACACGTGTACACACACACACAAATCCAGTAATAATATTGCCAGACTCTTACTGAAAACTGTACAGGCAATATCAAGTCCTGCTGTTTTCTTCATCACTGCAGACGTGAAATCCACCAGGTCTGACACTGGGGTTGAGGAACACATGTTGACACACCATGTTCGATCAACAGTAGAACCAGAGACTAGATCTCCTCCTTCTGGGGACAAATGTTTTCCTTCAGTTGTTGGGAAAGCTAAGACTGAGGAAGCTTGCTACCCAAGATGGACAAAACACAAGAGGCAAAACAGCAAAATCAGAAAAAAACCCACCTAACTGATACAGGATGAGCTGCCGAGGAACACACTGAGAATGCATCTGTCCACGTGAGACAGACACACATCTCCCTGGCTGTGATCTTCTGTCCACACAAATAAAATACCCATCTCTCACGAGCTAACACTAATTAAAGGTTTCCTTTGATTACAGCAGAGGGACTTGGACCCACACCTCTGTATCAGCTGAAGTGCCTGCGCTGCTTCTCTTTAGTTTTACCCATCCCCTGCTAAGTTTAGAAGAAAAGGCAACAGCTGTGGCTACTGACAGAACAAGGTTGGCAGCTGCAACACTGAGATGCCACATTTCAGTATATAATTTCCCTTCCACAGTGTCTCTCCCTAACTTTCCTCTTTAAGAGGCACTTAAAATCCATGTGTCTGACTCAATTATTGTTATTGTAGCTACGGAACAGAATGTGATGCTGATGAGGGCCTACCTGTCTAGTTAGCTTCCCTTTCTGGATGCTTTCTTTCTTTGATTCATCATTGCTTGTGACACATGTATTGTCTAAACTATGTTCAAGAACAAGTCTCTAATACATTCAATGGAAGAAGGTGAAAATCAGAAAACGGCGTATCAGTTGCATGCATAAATTTATGCGTTAAGTTTAAACAGCCATCTTCTGAGAAATATCTTATGTAGAAACCATGATTTTATTGTAAATTAAGAATAACACGTGTGGTAAAATTAAGAATAAAATTTCTTCTGCTTCCTTTGA